TCAAGTGACGATAAAAGGCTAAATGAGCTAAATTGATAAAATATGCAGATGGTTACATTCAGTTTGATTTTTTTGATGACAGCAACAGAGAACCAAAATGTGTCATGTGTCTCCAGGTGCTGGCACATGATGCCAGGCCGCAAAGCAAGCACTGAGCACGCAGATTGAAATACTTCTTTCAGTTACTATGAAACAGGTCTGAAGCCTTTAAGGTGAAAGGTTTTAGAATACAAACAGCTCTAATTGCATCTGAGAGTATGAATGGTAGTAAGGATATGCTTAATGAAGATTATCAGGGGGCCTTGGAAATGTTTCGCCCTTGTAAGAGATCCCAAAACGTTTATTTTATGGCCTCGCTTGCTCCGCAGATTCGAGTAAAATGAGTCATAATTCAAAAGTGACATGATTTGATGCAGACTCCCGCTGCAACAACATCACAGGGAAGATGTGCAGTATGAAACCAAAATAATTTATCGCAGTTGCACACCCACAGGAAGACTCTAACTAATTTCACTGATTACCACGAATGGTTTTTCCATTATTTTTGTGTATAGCCAATCAGGGGCACCCTTAATGGCATCCTGCATGTAAACAACATGAAAGTTGTAGCTGAATTAAAGGTCAGAAAGAGGAAGGTAGTGTGTGTTTATTGTATGTTTTCAGAGTACAGCCGAATGTAATTGTTGATGTTGGCTCTTAAGAGCACCCGTTTAGTTTTTCCTGAACGAGCTCCTTCAGTGATGTTTGCGTGCCCATTTTATTTACAGCCGCTAGGGAGAACAGTCCGTGCAGAGTAACTTTAAATGAAAACCAATGCTGACACTAACCTCTGGTACTTCCAGTACCTCCTCATAACTCTCTTTTATGGGCCACACTGTTACCTTTTCCCATGAGAACTCTAAATACGCTCATCAAGCATCCCATCGAAGGCAGCAAAATAGAGGCGACCAAAAGTAGAAGAGCAGAAGACGGGGACTGATGTCAGGACTTGTTACTTTTGTTTTTGGCTCTCACCTTGCTGAGTCATTCAAGCTTTATGGATGCAAAGTACAGAGATGAAGAAGTGCATGTGGTTTTAAATATGTGCACATTTATTCCACAGCAACAATCTGCAATGTTGCATTTCTAATTGCATTTTTTTCTTTCTTTACAATACACAGTGCAGCCTACAGCGCTTTGATGGAGTTTCAATAGTCTAGTTTTGCTAAAGTTATAAAAGTGTAGTAAAATATATTTTAACATTTTCCTGTATTTTCTAAAATTGCCCTAAAATAATTCTAAAAGCTGAAGAGGACTCTGGATCCCAACGGCTAAACAAAGTTATTTTGGCTGAAAGAAGATTTTAGCTTTGGCACCGACTTCACAACATACACAAAAATAATATTTGGATACAAATGCATCATTCCAAATACAATTCTGTCTCTTGCAGACTTGTTAATATAAAATTTGGCTCTTTGAGTTGCAAAAAATCTGGCATTTGCAGAGTACAACCAAAAGTGATACAATACTTGTAGTGCTGACCTTTCCATTAGCAGTGCTTCCTGACTCAGGTCAATAGGTAGAGGTCAAACAAGAGGGGGCAGACCCGTGTAATTATCCAGGACAGGGAAATCCTGGTCTAAATCAGAATGATGTCCAGAGAATTAAGAGTCTAAAATTGTGGTTTGCTTGATTCTCCCATGACAGCTCAGTGATTAATGCATGATAAATGTTTGAAGTGTGTGTGTGGCAGCTTTTACAATGAGAATCAAACCTCCAACTGCTGTCACCTTGGCACCGTTTAGGAGTAACTGAGCTACTCACGAGCGCAAGTCTGCAGTCCAACTGCAAGCGCACGTCCATTTATTACACTGTGTTATTCGTTTGTTTGTAAACAAGATGTGACAGTCTGTGGACAAAATGGAGGGAAGGAAACAAGGACAGTCGTGTTTCTTACAGTCAGCGTGAGGATGGATGCTAATCACATGGCAGCCCCAACAGATTTCCAAACTGAGACCAGAACCCCTCATTTCAAAAGGCCTTATGAGGTGAGATGGATAGATGGGCGTTTAGAACAAAACACATCAGAACGCACGATTCTCTAAAGCTTGAGTGATGTGCCGGCATCGGCTCTGACAAGATCATTAGAAAGGCTCCGCTGCGGAGGAGAGCCGCGACCCCGGACCAGCAGCTAAAACTTCTTCGTCACCTCTGACACTGTCTAATGACACTCATTTGCAATCTGACTTCCTGAACATTAGCAGACGATTAGAGTACGATAACCACTGCAATTAACCTCCGCGGTAGTTTTTCAATCTAATGCTTTCCTGAAGAACTGTCGCATCGGGTAGTCCCACACCTGAGTTTACACTCTGGAGAAACCTGAGTGCACTGTTTCTGTGCAGTTGTATTATATAAGATGCTGCATATTGAGAAAGTTTGCTACATTATTTCACATAGACCATATGTTTCTAATAGGCAGAAACCAGCATCAGAGAAGTAATCTGTCTAAAAGTCTGTGTTTAGCTTCAAAAGTATACCAGTGTAAATGAGCAATGTTATAATCTGAGGTATAAAAATAAACAAAAAGTGTGTTCAAAACTTGTGCACAAACACACCAGAGCAGTTTTGAGTAGGACCAGTCATACGCTGTCTAGTATGTGAAAAACCACATCCATGATCACCATTAGGGGAACAGAATTGAAATATATTCTGTTTGGTTTAGTCTGAAGGATACAATTTGTTCTTTGCTTATTTCAGAGTGCATAAAAAATGGCAGTAAGTGGGAGTGTTAGCATAAGCATAAACGCTGCTCTGCTCGCGAGCCTGTGCGCACTCATGCTATATGAGCACAAGCACCTGGACGGGGAGTATAGTTTGATGCTGGGCAGACACACGCATTATTTAATCACCAAACTCTCAGTCTGAAGCATGTCGAACATCTGCACTTACCATCAGGTGGATACAGATTGATGAAATTCTTTCTAAATATGCCACCAAGACAAAATATGGCCTGAAAGGTTTAGCCTTCACGACCGAGTTCCCATATTAAGATTCGCTTTTCTCCCTGGAAGGTTCTTACCTATTTCCTAAAACAATCAATGGCAAGAGCTGCTGAAATTGATGGATTGTGCCTCTAATGCCATGACCTGATGCCATTATAGTTAGTGACACGTTGCAGCCTAATGGCCGAGCTCTTTCTGTGCATGTGAGTAAAAAAAAAAAAAGTGTGTACATATGTGTGTGTGTGTGTGTCAAAGAGGACTGCAGGCAAGGGGAGGGAGGAAGAGACGCTAATTGAAATTCCTTCAGCCATGTCTGGCAGAGCCTTGGTGTCTGAGTGGCACACACACGCACACATATTCACACTGGCCCTAATAAAAGTGGGCTTTGCCATATGGAGGCCATGTGCAAGACTGGCCTCTCTGTGCTCAAGCGTGTGTCTGCATCTGTGTGTGTGTGTGTGCACATGTACTCAGCAGGCGAGCCTTGTACAGCACCAGAGCATCGAGTACAGATGCATGCAACCCTATGACATGTGTATGAAGGTGTGCGAGTGATAAAGACCAGTTTAGAACAAGTACACAGACACTTGACATCATACATTTAGAAGAAAACTATTCAGTAATGCAGCGAACGCCTGTTCTCTAATAATAAAGATATTAGCTTGTGTTTTGGACATCACCCATCTAATTCAGTGAACTGGCAGGCAGACTGTGGGCAGGTAAATGTGGGAGCAATGTTCTGTTCTCACTCAACAACTACTGTCAGTATGTCCTTAGGCCATGCAGTTATTCTGTGCTGCTCACAGGCTAAAAGACTGTGGCAGACTTGGAGAACTTCCAGATGTGTTCAACTAGAAGATAAAGCCGCACACTACAAAATGATAACAGCTGATTTTCTGTTCTGAATCAGTCATAACTGATTATGATGAGCCTTGCAAGTCGTTAAAACTATTTAGATTTGCTGCAGTACAGATCTGATGCTTTGGTGAGATAGTCATGACAACATCTGGCTATTTAGCATTTTTTTAGAAACCAAAAATAATTTGTTTTTATTTTGGGGGGCGGGGTTTTTTTCCTGCTGTACCTGTGGATTTTGAACTTATTCTTGCATTTGTACTATTTTCCTTCAGAAACCTAAGGTGCTTTTAATATACTGGCGGAGTTTCTGAGTTCCCAGCAGCAGAGGAACTGTGAGTGTGAAAGAGAAACTGTGTGAATGTGAGGCTGAGTGATGCTGACAAATAAGCATGTGTGCTCAGTGACCCTTCTCAGGATAAATAAAGGTTAAAATCATATTTCCCTGCCCGCAAAATGCACAACCAGGAAAACAAAAAAAGGGGGAGCAGGAAGCGTTTGGTTATTACTTTATATCTGAGTCAGTACAACCTCATAGTTAGCATATGCCCAACACTATTATAGCAAGAGCACAATAGCAGCAAGGAATAAGAGTACTTGTCATTCTCTCCTGGGGTTTGGTAATAGCTGTGTTTTAGATATTTCCTCAAAGAGGAAGAACTTTCTCTGGGCAATTTCTAATTGGTTCCAGTGGATCATCGCTCTTTTTTATCTGCCGGTTTACTTTTTCTTTTTCTTCTCCTCTCCTGCTCTTCTACTGTCATGCTTTTCTTTCCCAAACTCTTTGTAGTCAGACAATATGCCTGCCTCTGCACATGGTGAAAAGGCTGCAGGCACGCAGCTCTGTTACTTGTTCTATTGCCCAGCTACCTGTCTGGAAGTGCATGGGTGCTCACAGAACGGAAACAAGGAAACATCAGTGGCCACAGATAAACATGTGAGATGAAGTGGAGGACAAGCAGTGCTGCTTTTGCCACAGTTGTGCCACTGACAGATACTAAGGTTGCGTTTGGCTCTCTTTAAAAAGTCTAAAAAGAAAGATCTCATATCAGGATCTTGAATATGAAATTGATTTCTGACTTTCATAAATTGCTGTGTGTGCGGTTAAAAGCTGTTTGCACCAGAAAGGATCAGCTGACGCATTAAAGGCAGATGACTTACTGTATGGATCGTCCTTGTTTCCGGTGCCGTTAACCTTTCCCTCCTCGCCAATGCGAAGATAGAATTTCTGGGAGGAGAACAGTTTCCGCCAGCGCACGTCCCCTTGTAGATGCTTGTAGCTGCTTCGCACGTGCCGGCCAACAACCGTCGCGGACGACGATGACACATTGGTCGCCCTTGGCAACCTTGCAGAGGATGCGTGAAGCGGTGTGGGTGATGAGGAGGGTGGTGGGTATGAGATGAGGAAGTGAGGAGAAGTCCCTCCTGGTGCATTGCGGCCGTGTTCGGACGAAGCGGACAGCGGGGAGGATGAGGACGGTCCGAGCAGGAGAAGCAGGAGCAGCAAGGTGAGGGAGAGGTGTGAAGGAGGTCTACGGCAGGGGCAGGAGGAGAACCAGGCGGCCGGTGCACCTTGTGTCACTGTCCATCTACACATGGTAGTGGAGCTGGGAGAGCTGTGGATGTGCTCAGGGGCTGGGGCATGCTGAGCTGGTGCAGGGAAAGGGAATGAGAGTGGGAGAAACTCCCCCCAACTAAACCTCCTCTGTTTGGGAAACCCCAGCCTCACTGGGACTGTAGGTGTTAAAACCTGTAGAACAGCTGGGGTGAAGATGGTGCGACTTGCTGTGGCAGATGTAGGTTGATCAGGAATATAAACGTTGATGTAGCGGGGGGTAATGGTGAAGCCCGCAGCGCTGTGGCTGACGCCGCTGTAGTCCCCCGGTGCTGTTTATTCCTCACAATCGCCACAGGAATGCGTCAACAACCATAACTCAGATCACCTCACAATGAGAACTACTAGGCGCGCTCCTCGGGACCTCTCGCCTCCTCCTTCTACCTCTCCTCCTGACACTGCCACTCTCTGCTCCTGGTTTCTCAAAATCACTCAAAATCCCATTTTAAAGTTCACATCCAAAGACAAAAACACACATCATCAGTTCATCCACACAAACACACACACGAACACACGCGTCCCAGACAATTTATCCCCCCTCAGTCCTGGTTGGTGGAGAAGCAGGTTAGGAAAAAAAGATGGCAAAGTGCTTAGGAAAAAAAATTTAAAAAAAATAAATAAAACAAGCAAGAAAAAAATAAAATAAAAATGTTGTTTCTTATGAAGTGTCCAGGCCACCAAAAAAAGGGAAAAAAGAAGGCGTCACAGAATCCAGACTTTCTTCTTTTCTTTCTTTGTTTCTCTTGTTTTGTCTGAGCTGGTTTGAAGTTACTTGAGTGTGTATCTGACCCCTGCGAGCTCTCGTCTTTCTCCACTCTCTTGCAGTGCGTCTGTCAGTGGGCTGAGCTCCCTGTCTGTCCTCTGTCCTTGCCTCTCAGAGTCTGAATGCTGGAGCGGTGCGTTGCCTCTCTTCTTTCCTCCCGTGTGTGGCTCCCTCTCCTTTGGCCCCCTCCCTCTTTCCGTTGCCTCTCCCTCTCTCTCCTATCTGTCTATCAGTGGTTCGCTGGTTATTTGGAGTTTGTCTGAGGTGACTGAATCTTGTCTTTTCTTTCACCTTATTTATCTGCTGTAGTTCCCCAGATGTCATCTCTTAGTGTAATTGGACGTCTATTAAAACCACTCGGCTTTGAAGGGCTGTGTGCATTTATGTGTTTGTGCGGGAGAGGGGAGCAGGGGGTGGGGTGTTCTGTTCCACCCTGTTTTCGCCTTCCCTTCCTCTCCCCCATTTCTCTTTCTCCTCCCCTTCCCAGACCACTAGCTGAGCGGAGCAGGTCAGAAAGAAGGAAAGAGAGCCGTTCATCTCTCCCTCTCCCAGGTTTTTAGGAGTGTCATCCATCTTTCTGATCTTACTTTCCTCTTGATTAGAGGCACTTTTTTAAATTTACCAAACCGTCTGAAATACTAAACGCTGGCCAAACTTCACTCCAGGTTTGCCTGAAAAGAGCCATCAAATCTGTTTAACAATCAGCCGAAAACGATCAATTCATTGATGTATTTCTGACTGACTTGAAGTCAAATAATGACATCCGTGTCTTCTTTTAAATCGGCTGAAAAACTTGTGATAAACAGCTAATTTTCCCTTATTGCATCTTCTTTGCTGGCACTTAAAAACTCTCCTCCCTCTATGACACATGATTTCCTGACAGTGTCACAGACTTTCTCTTTCTGATTTAAAAATGCAAAAAATAGTTATGAGATGAGTCATCGTTCCTCAGCTGTTTTGACTAGCATTTTTAGCAATTTCTCAGCCTCAGTCACTTAAGCCCCTGAATCTTCTGAACACCTCTCTGTGTTTGGGTAATCGCTGTACCTGACGTGTGTTGTTGCATTTCACCTTTCAAGAATCTAGGTCTGCTGTCTGGCTTCAGCACTGTTTAATTTCCTATTCACATTGTCAGACAACGACCATATCTCCTCCTCTTCTTCTCTTCTTCTTAGTTTATCTAGTATTATTGCTGTAACAGCTCACGCCTGTCAATGGTATGCTGCTGACATATTTGACTTTTAAACAATTCCATTTGGGGATGGATCAGTTGCACAGAAATAACCGTGTAAAGACAACCTGTACACTTTCAGTCAGCCAGTGTTTCCCTCTGCGGTGGTAACTCCAGCTGAGAATGGACAGATGTTGGGCGCTGCCAGCAATCTGTCGTTCATGTCAGCTTTACAGCCTTGTCTTTCCCGCTGAGGTCCCGACTTCACAGATGGTGAAGATTGATTTGGTGAAGGCCAACCACTGTGCAGAATGTCATGATGAAATGACGATCAATCACTGCATAAATTTAGTGTGTATTCTTAAGTAATAGGCAACAGAAAAAAATCCTGCACGTGCCGATGTTGTTTTTACTTTTTATGGACTTTACAAAGTAAGAGTGCAACTAATTATTTTAATCCATGAGTTCGTGGGCTAATTGTTTTCTCAAATTAATAAATGATTTCATATATTAAATGGCGAAAAACGTTACTAATTGTTCTGAAGCTCAGTGCAGCTGCATGTGAACTCCAGACAATGTTGGGAAATTTCCTTAGGGACTAATAAAGTATTCTGATTCTGATTCTGAAAATCAAATTGGGGTATTGTTCACAGTTGGTCGTCTGTCTGGACATACTTTGCTGAAGATGCTGGTTGGGTGAAATGTGCAGTAAGAAGCATTACATGCCCTCATGGTCGAAAACTTAGCAGACTACCCGCTGACCCCCTGACTGAATACAAAGTAATCAATAGCTGCAGCCCACATCATTCTCTTGCAACTAGTTGTCAGATGGTCATCAACTGGTCTCTAGGCCTGTGTGACTGAGGCTAACGAGGGAGCCTCCAGGGTCAGTTCTATCTAAAGTCTGATGTTTGTGCTCTCATTTGCAGCTTCACTGGGTAAAGCTGGAAAAAGTTCACTTATGCAGTAGATTGCCTCATCTTACTGACCAAGCTAAGTCCAAAAACCAAAAACAGTTTACTTTATTTAGATAAAATAACAAAATCAACCAACTGTTAAACTCCTTACTTGGACTTTTTCCACATGTATGCTGTTGGCATCATTCAGCACCGCGGACAGCACTTGACAGTGTGCTATTCCAATATGTTAATGCTTTAATTGAAGGATGTCATCTTTGAAATCACAACAGTTCTTGCTGCCGTTTAACTTTTTATTCTGTTCAGTAGAGATTGAGGTGACTCTCTTAGGAAGATGGAGAACAAAAAGATATCCCGCTGATGGAGAAATTCATCGACACAGTAGAAAGCGGAAGAGTCCCAGAAATATGGTCTTAGTTGATGTGATGTAGCGTGCCAAGTTATATAACTTGTTCTTTCATTTAGGGTCTATAAGTCTCTAATGGTGATACAGTTATAAGTTATAAACAACACATATTTTTAAAAAAATGTAACTTGCATTAATAATGCTTAACTGCACGAAAATAGTAATGTAATTAAGTGTAACTGAATTCTGTTAAATCAGTAATACAACTCTACTTTTATCTAGTTTTAAAAACAACACCATTAAAGTATTTTATGTCAGTAATAATCTTTTTTCCTGGATGCCTTTTGTAAAGATACTGTGCACTTGTAATTGGCTTTAGGTGCAGCTGTGAACGCAGAGGACCTTACTGTAAGCTAAGCATGCTTGCTGTGAGCCAAACTACTGCAAAAATGAATAAATTTGGACTTCTGCAGCAAGTGTGGGAAAACTCTGAGGGAAAATAATGAGGGAAAAGAGAGAAAAATGCCAAGAGATAGAGCAAGAGAGGGAGAAAAGGACAGAAAACATCTGGTCAGTGGCTCTGTGGTTTGATGTTGGGGTCTAGATTGACAACACACAATGCGCACATTGCACACACACGCACACACACACAGAGTATGTTTCTGAACCTTCTGTCATTGCACTGATGTTTTTTAAGCTGTATAATCATTGGTCTGTGGTAACGGTATGCACATAGCACTAATGAACTAATAATGAGTTACCGATCAGTTTCCGACTGATCTCTTCATTGCATTGCCCTGCAGTCTCGTTGTTTTGTGTAACCGTCCTAACAAGACTCAGATGTTGGAAGTCAGTTGTCCGTAAGGGGAAAAAAAAGGTTTCATCACACCAGAAAACAATTTTCTGGATTGAGTGAAGCACCACATATTGGATTTTTTTTCTAAACTATTTAGGAAAGCTGCAGGGGTTTCCCTCTCTGGAGCTGCTGTCATTCAAATGTTGTTTACTCTACTTCAAGCGACATGTGATCCCAAGATTGTTTTCATTCAGCGCAATGAATTTTATAGTAACGGCAAATATATATTTCCAAATACTGCGCAATACATAGCATGATCCCGCTGAAAAAATAACTATCTGTCGTCACCACAGTTGCAGTAAGTCTTGTATATTTTAGTCATGTTGTAAAAGCAGTGCTGTGCTAATGATGAAGTGTTTTAGATGTGGCCACATTTCTCAAAAATCTTTTTCTTCTCTTGTAGGAAAGGAATTAGTTTCATTGTCTCGTGGTTTTGGCTAAAATTTGCGTTGCAATCTGAGGCCAAACTTCAAAGTCCCAGAGAGCTGAAGAGCAGATCTGGGATCAACACCCAAAGCTAATGGCTGTAATCGTATTTATTCCCAAAGAGCTGTGTGGATTTTAGAACAGCTAATTTGAATGGCTTTGCAGACTCTCGCCCACATGAGCTGACACTGGTCCCCTCCGGCTCCGTTGGTCATGCCTTGGATAAGTCCTGATTGCTCATGCCTAGGAGGAGAAAGCCATTACAGACCAGAAGTTTGGCTCGCTGATTCTAATTGTTTCATTGCGGTTGAGCTGGTGGCTTTGAACTCATTATGGTCTTCAAACTAACTCTGCAGAAATGACCCTGGCATTTAACTTTAATTACAAGAACATTAAAGCTGTTACAGATAAAAGGAACTCCTGCGATAAGCTAACTTACAGATAAACTATGGTTGCAACCAAGCTGCGGAACAGATAATTCTCAGCGAATGCAAACCATCAGTGACAACTTTAATAATCCCAAGCACTTTGATTACAATCTGTTTCAAGCAATCGTTTGAAACGCGGGCTCGCCATTTTAAGCAAATCGGAGTCCACTTTAAAGGTAGTTTTATTGCCCCTCCCACTGAGTGAATTTTTTTTTGCCATTTAGTTGCAATGAAATGCAAACAAACATGGATCAGCAGGTTAACTGCAGCAACAAGAAAAACATGAGTAAACACTTATTTGTCAGTCAGTTTGAGAAGGTATGCGAGACTCTTG